GAGTTTTCACTCATTTTAACACTACTGGTCAATGAGTTGATGAAGAAAAAACGAAGTTTGTAATGATGAAATCTCCCCCACTTCCAAACTATACTGGATCCAACATTTAATTATGTTTCAGTAACTATGGATTTCAATGTCTTTAAGTTTTTTTTTTTCTTTTTTGCCCACGCAATTTTCTTATTCATATTCCACTAACTGAGAAACATTATGGGGATATTAGTGTATTGGGGGTGGGGAAGATGACGAGAAATAAAATACAACATTGTGGCAAATATGATTTTATTCTATTAGCAATATCTTCTGTACAGTAGTCCCCCACCCCCTTAATCTTGGATTCACTTTTCCCGTTTTCACTTGCAGGTGGTCAATGACTGTCCAACAGTATCAAATGGAAAATTCCAGACATAAGCAATTCATAAGTTTTAAGTAGCATGCTGTTCAAGTAGTATGGTGAAAACTCATGCCTCCCCCAATGCATTTTGCTGTAACTTGAATCATCTTTTTTTCCAGTTTATCCATGTGGTATGCACTGCCCGGCCTTAGTCACCTAATGGCCTTCTAGGTTGTCCTATAGACTGTCACAGTATCAGAATGCTCGTGTTGAAGAAACCCTTAATTTAATTAATAATGTTCACAAAGTGCAAGAGCTGTGATGCTGGCAATCCTGATATGTCAGAGAAGCCCTAAAATGCTTCCTTTAAGTGAAAAGGTGAAAATTCTTGATGTAATAAGGAGAGGGGAAAAGATCACATGCTGAGGTTGCTAAAATCAATGGTAAGAAGGGATCTTCCGTCCATGACAGTGTGAAGAAGAAAAAAGAAGTCCATACTAGTTTTGCTGTTGCACCTCAAACTGCAAAAAGTGTGACCACAGTACGTGGTAAGTGCTTACTTAAGAGGGAAAGGGAAATTCAGTTTGCTGGTAAAAGCCATGAACATCTATAGACAGTGTAGGGTTCAGTACTATCTGCAGTTCAGGCATCCTGTGATGATCTTAAAACCCCATTCAAAAACTTAAAATGTAAGTCCAACTTATTACATTTTGTAGTCATCTGAAAGCATTTTAAAAGTAAATAGTTTTGACCAAGTTTGTTCTCATTTATATTCAACCTAATCTTTTGATGTAATTGTGGTTTCTCTTATTTCAACAACTGTGAATCTTCAAGAAATTCATTTCATGTATAATACAGCAAATCTAGGACTGCTTCTCTGATGTCTTCTTTCCACTATAACATTTCTGGATTTAAATATCTGTATTCATTAATCTTTGTGAATTTTTAGATCATGTAATATGAGCACATGGTAGAAAATGTAACAGAAAATGAATTGGAACACCGAACACTTATGAACACATGGTAGAAAATGTAACACAAAATGAATTGGAATACCAACCACTTAAACTGGCAGAATATTGTTATATCATGACAAATTTAACCAAAAATGAATGAAATCTTTTGTTCTTTTCACTTCCACAGCAATATATGTCCACTTTGCCCAACTTCGTCATCACTGCCTATCCTATTACTACCAAGGAAATAATTTTGCCCTTCTATGAAACAACTATGAGAATATAGTTGTATGGCCTTTATTTTCACAGGATATTGCCTTTATAAACTACAAATAAAAACTTAAATGGAGGGGTTGACACCAGACTTGAATGTATACAGTATTCAGTTAAAGAATGTTACTGAAGTCACTGTGTTTATATTGATGGGATTCACAGATGATTTTAAGTTGCAAGTCTTCCTGTTTTTACTATTCCTTGCAATCTATCTTTTTACTCTAGTAGGAAATTTAGGACTCGTTGTATTAGTCATTGGTGATTCCAGGCTCCACAACCCGATGTACTATTTTCTGAGTGTTTTGTCAGTCTTGGATGCCTGCCATTCTACTGTTGTCACCCCCAAAATGTTAATCAATTTCATGGCTAAGAATAAATCCATTTCATTTCTTCAATGTGCGGCACAGATGTTTCTCTTTGTTACTTTAGGAACCACAGAATGCTTTCTCTTGGCTGCAATGGCTTATGATCGCTATGCGGCCATCTACAACCCACTTCGGTATTCAGTGAGCATGTCGCCCAGAGTCTACGTGCCACTCATTCTTGCTTCCTATGTTGGTGGCATTTTAAATGTTACTACACATACAGTGGCCACATTCAGCCTGTCCTTCTGTATCAGGATGGTATGTTGAAGATAATGTCCACAAGGTGCACGAGCTGTGATGCTGGCAATTCTGATATGTCAGAGAAGTCCTAAAATGCTTCCTTTAGGTGAAAAGGTGAAAATTCTTGATGTAATAAGGAGAGGAAAAAAGATCATAAGCTGAGGTTGCTAAAATCAACTGTAAGAAGAAATCTTCTGTCTATGAAATTGTGAAGAAGAAAAAAGAATTCCATGCTAGTTTTGCTGTTGCAACTCAAACTGCAAAAGGTGTGACAACAGTACAAGATAAGCGCTTACTTAAAGAGGGGAAAGGGAAGTTACGTTTGCTGGCAGAAGACATGAACGCCTAGAGACAGTGTAGGGTTCAGTACGATCTGCAGTTCAGGCATGCATGCAGTGAGGATCTTAAAACCCCATTTGAAAACTTAAAATGTAATTCTAACTTATTATATTTCGTAGTCACCTGAATGCATTTTAAAAGTAAGTAGTTTTGACAAAGTTCGTTCTCATTTATATTCAAACCAATCTTTCGATGTAAGTGTTGTTGCTCTCATTTCAACAACTGTGAATATTCAAGAAATTCATTTCATGTATAATGTAGCAAATCTAGGACTGGTACTCTGATGTCTACTTTCCACTATAA